GTGGTAGACAATGTGGCTCAAGGTGTCTCTTCATCCTTCCTTTCAGCATCAAGAAGGTAGAATTCTTTTAAGCTGTAGAATCTCTGTCAGAGCTAGAGTATTTCCTACATTGCTAGAAAACAATCCCCACAGAGCAAAACTGGATGCAGCTCTTCGCTATGATTTGGGGAGATTTTGATCAATCTATGTAAAAGAATGTAATGATAATGGAAGAGACAGATCCTGAAGACAAGAGATGACTAGATAAGTGATTGGAAGTTAATGCAATAAACTTTAAAGACCCTTCCATGAGGGAAGGGGGTAGTTTGCTCAATCTCCCCCATGTTCCCTTAGATATTCAGTAGTGTTTGGTGAGAACCGTTTCCATCCTTTTCAGTTTGTTCATTCCAGTTTATCTGAGGCCATGCTTATTTTTCCCTTCAGGATTTAGGATTTTGTAACTAGTGCACACCTACCCTGTTGAAATGGATTGTTTCTTATACCAGTAAATGTCTTAAGGATTGCCTAATGGCTTCAGAGGAAGAAAACCCTCCTAAGGAGTTGAAATTTTCTCATGGTATCCAGTTGGGCCTATTTAACTATCTACTTGCCAGGCTTTACAACTGCTTAATAAAGTACCTGAAACTTGCTGCATACTCCAGAGCTTAATTAAAGTCACATGCTTTGGCACTGGTTCAGAAAATGTAGTTGCTTGTCGAACAGTACATTCCTATTCCTTGTTAGCAAGAGATAATGTGGAAACACGCATTAAAAATAGTTCAGTCTTAAAAGATTTAGGCAGGATCGCTGTTGACCCCATTTATTTGGGGACTGATGGGTGTGCTACCAATCCTCTGACCTCCAGCTGATGGTATCACAAATGCAAAAACGCTGCTTGCCAACCTCTAAGCCCTAAACTTACAAAACATGCTGAGAAGTGTGACAGAAGTCATTTGCCCAAGGCATTCTCTTGCATCACTGTCTAGCGTGAGCTTTTTGTTCACCTCTAGCATCTTAGGGAAAAGAAAACCACTGAATTTTGGGGGCCACACGTATCACCTATATAATTATTCCTCTTCTTTGGAAAACCCTAAAGAAAGATGGTCATTTTCGTCTGGTTCTTCGGTGGTTCATGTGCTTTTGTCTGTGAGCGCTCCCCATTTGAGGCACAGGATTATTGTGATACAGTTTTGTCAAGCCTGTAACATGTTGTTTTGTGCTTCACATAGTCATGTTCTGATTTATGCCTAGATAGAAGATAGATAGTGAAAGTATAACATATAAGATTACTCGCCATTTGAGCAGCTTTTATAAAATTTTGCTTACAGCTCAGTTGTCAGAATATATGACTTGCCTGTTTTGTTGAAATATTAACCACCACTTTATAGGTTTTGTCATTGTCGCAACGTGGCCAAAGGTTGCAGTAAAACATGTGCAATTAGGTTGAAGAAGCGCTAGTGTAATCAGTCCCCTCCTCCCATGTACCCTTTGCAAGATCAGGAATATTTTTATACCCAGCCTCTGCTCGATGCCCAACGCGAACCCCTTTCCGTGATTGAAATTCTTCATTCTTACTTCCTTGTTCTTTGCCAGTCATGAAAATGCCTTTTATAACTTTATGGAAGGTACAGTGAGAGTGCGTGGCAGAACGGGGAGTGAGATCTCAGCTTCCTGGGATAAATGCTGTCTCATATGCCAGTTTGCATTCTAAAATGATTTTGTTGAGCTGCTGGATGGTCAGAAAGGTGCAGATGAAGGGGAAGCTGTCTTTCTGAAAGCTTTTCCCTCTGTGCCTCTCAACATCTGTTTGAAGAAGAGATCCCTGCTCTCTTAGTACCTTAGCTTGAGTGACGGGTAAAATGTAAGCCTAATTAATCACTTGTTAAAAAGTTATTATAATAATGATGGTCTGTTTCTTAGGTGGACTCCACACAATAAAGCCTTTGAACCACATGAGTAAAAGGACTGCATTGGAAATCATCCTGGATATTCAATACTACCATTTTTAAAAATTCTTGTCAGTTAAGGTTTGGTTTTACTAGCCAACAAACATGATAAAAAAATATTTGTGCTAAATGCAGACATGGGAGCTTGTCCTCTTTGGTATTTTAACCCAGCTCCTGTTTAGATGCCATTTACTTTGGAATTCTTTGCTGCATAAAAGCTTCTGGAATAATTACTTCCAGCAGGTAAATGACTTTGTCTCCCTTTTCGATAAGGAAGAATGCCACTATTCAAACTTGCCAAGTTCAAAATGAACTTGGAAAAAAGCAGCAGCAGAATCTGGATCGGTCTAAAATGAGTCGGAACACAACCGAGCAGGAATTGCGAAAGAACTGGGAGACCTTTCTGAGAGGCTCTCCTTGTTCTCTGGCTCTCGTATTCGACGTGCGCTTGGAGTCAGATGAAAGTGCTGCAGGGAGACTAGCATTCTGCTTACCACAAAATTGGCATAATGGAACAGTAATTCTCTGTTCTTTTAGATAAAACCTGTCCATTGTGCCTCTTGCTATTGCACTTGAATACTGTAACTGCTTTTTCTGGCATGTTTAAAATATACTGTTCTTCTTATCTGTGTCAATTACGACTTCAAAGTCTACCTCCATCTATCATCCATTATTCCTGTCTCTTAAATTATCTGATTACTCCCCATCATCTTCCACTTCAAGAATAACTATTTCAGTCATCCCTTAAGAGTCTCGCTCAAATGGGCTAAATCTCAGATGGCCTCTTTTGTCCTGCCCCTTTCCAGTGACAAATGCTCCCAGCCTGGTGGCATCCTGCTTATGTATGCCAGCTGCCCCAGTGCAGCATAAAACATTCTGCTGGGATGAACTGCCTTCCTCATTCTGCTACCCCATAACTGTGTATTAAATGAGGTGTTTAGGGAAATTGAGTTAAATCCTTCATAGATGACAGGAGGGGAAATTAAGCATAAGAAAACGCTGGAGACTTTATAGCTATCTTGTACAGGGGTGTTATCTGTAACACAAGGCACATGTTCTGTATGATTTTGAACAATAAGACCTGATATGTAATCTTCTAGATTCTACTGAATGCAATTTTTCCTGAGTCTGCCAGCAATTAAACATTTGTTACTAGTCTGTAATAAATAATTGCTCCTACCCTAGAACCTGAATTTTGTCGGTTTTACTTACCCAGAACTTGTGTTATGAAACATGGATGTGTGGTTTTTTAATACACACAGTACTTAACTTCATATTTATGATAAACTAATAGCCCTTCAAGGATTGAGTTGAAACCTTGGCCAGTAAGTAAGGGAAGAGGATCATCCCTTCCCCTCCTGATCCGAGTTCAACACTGTGTTAACTACTGGAAGGAGGAAAATGAACACTGACACATGTGGGAGCTTTAGCAAATCCAAACACCAACTAGTGGAAAGAAAAAGCTTTACAGAAGCACGGTGCTTATGAAGAACTTGAATAAGGACCTGTCTGTGACATAATTCAATAACTTCAGGCACCGCATCTCATCTCTTCATGTTAATTGAGTGGGTGGAGAAATGCTGTCTTGAGTCCTTTTTGTTCTGAGCTATTTAATGCTTATAGATTAAAACTTGGCTTATAGCACTTGTATTCAGTAAGTTATTTTAACTTCTCTCATGTGATTTAAAGGTTTGACTGCCTCTAAAGTGAATGACAGTATTAAGTTGTTAGTGAGGTGATCAAATCTGAGAACTCCAGGACTCTTGGGGAGCCTGGGAGGAGAAAAAGCTCAGACCAAAAAAGTTGCTTTTGACTGGAAGAACAAAATACATGCAATAAACCCACTGGGGGTACAGCTGGAAGGAGGGTATCAGCAGGAGGGAGCACTCAAGATGATGTTTCCATGCAGCACTTTTAGTAGAGCAGTGTGTCAGGTCACGCTGAAACAGAGTGGCTGTTTGTGATGTGCTTTAAACCCCAAACATGTCATCTTTTTCTTAAGGCTCATTTTTAGATTCACCGCTTAATGATCTGGTTTATGCTCTAGCCCACAAAGAGTTTTTGTTGCCACAACTGAAGGGGCAGTGAACTGCAGCGTGGGGACTTCTTAGGGCAGCTTTGCTGCTAAAGGCGGCATCTCGTGGAACCACATCCCCGAGGGGTTTTGTCTGGGGCTCCGAGTTCAGTCACACTGTGTGCATAGATGTTAAGGGGCATCCTTCTAGTACAAACATTATGCAATCTGACTTTTCATAAAATGCCTTTTTGTTTTTCTCCTAAGTGCTTAAACACATTTTGATTGACGCGGTACAGTATGTACATCTGCTTAGGCTTTGTGGCACAAAGGATGGGGAAATGCAGGAGATGCTTGTCTTACCTGGTTGGAATATATTTTAATAATTTTAATTTTAATATATGGTGGAAGATATTGTACCATTCTATTTCCATGGACTTCAAAAGGATGTGGGAATAAGATGCTCTGGGCTTGTGTGCAGAAAGTGAAGATGGATGTGTATATCTTCATTAGAAGGTTAAACGTTTAAAGTTATTTTCCTAATGGCTTATTTTTGCTTATGCTTGCTTGGGGAATATCTTTGTTATAAGATGGTGTGATGATTGCTGCAAAGTAACTGGCAACTTCTAAAAGTCTAAATGGAGATGTCTGTGTGGCCAGTGAGTAAATGGTAATTGATGAATCATCTTCCTGGCATAGTACTGGAATATCCTACACTGTTTCTGAAATGGAACCTGCATTAAATTTCCCAGAATTTGTCTTCTGCTGATGTTCTGAGGATCTTAGACAAATGCACTGATATATTCTTCCGTGACTTCGTGTAGGACCACAAGCTGGAGGAACTTAGGAGTACAATTAAGCAATGTTTAAATATGAGGAGTAACTGCATTTCAATGGAAAGTCCAGGGGTAGGAGGGAACGTGGAATAAAAGATCCTACACTAGGCAAGGACAATGGAAAGCATTAAGCAGGAAATAGGGTCTATGGTTAAGGGGGCGGGGGGGGGCACAATATCCTGAAAAATGCTATTGAAATTTTTAAATGCTTGCTTTTTGTTGCAGATTAATCAGCCACTCGATGGGGATTAACAGTGGAGCACCTCTTTGTGTCGCCTTTCCACCTCTCTGTAGCAAGAATAACAACTTCAGCACTTCTTCAATAATAATTATGAAACTGGTATTAACTGAATGGCAATTATGGATTTTTAACTCTAACTCACAGTAAATCAGCAAGCCATATGTTGAAATTCCTACCAAATAGCTTTTCATTCTTGATGTCTCATATCTATACAAGAAGTTGTGAGATACCTGTTTGTACAAGAGGAATATAAGCATTACTTGCCAGAGGAACAGAAGTTGAAAGAGAAGACACCCTAACTTGTTCGTGGAGTTATGGTAGTATTATTTATATAGATATAACAAATATATATATATATATATATTTTTATGGTAATGAAAATGGCTCCCCAGAATGCTGACTCGGAATCTATGCAAGTTCAAGATCTACCTGTGGCGCAGCTTCAGAAACCAGAAAACAAGGAGAATGAAAGTAGGGAGGAGACCATTAGCGAAGGATCCATAGACCGGATACCGATACGCCTGTGGGTGATGCATGGGGCAGTAATGTTTGGCAGGGAATTTTGTTATGCCATGGAAACAGCTTTGGTAACACCCGTATTGTTACAAATCGGTAAGTAATTAATTCTCATTCCTGTTAATCGAAACGTTCTATATCCTCTTGCATTGATTGAAGTCAGAGGAAGAGGGGAAGCGGGGTCTGCCCACTGAAAAGACACAAGGTAAAATGGATTTTGGGGTTTCTCTTGGAATTGGCCGTGCCACAGATTTAATTGTGTGACCATGTTTAAGCAGGAAGGATTTCTATATGCATTCATTTTCTGTCTAATATTGCTTCCCTTTGTAAGATTTTTAACCTGATTTAAATCTAAAATTCTTCACTAAAAGGTAAATGTCCTAGAAACAACAATAGACTATAAAGGATTGCAATGAACCTTTTTTTTTTTTAATATTTGTAGATAAATGCTTCAGGCAACACTGCTTTAGAATAAACAGATAAATTGGCTTTTCTAACGTCTAGTGAAATATTGCATTTATTTCAAATCACTAGTGAGTCTTATGTGATTAGTCTGGTCTATTTTGTAACGTGAGTATGTTTGAATAAACCATTATACCGATAGCTTTAGATAATAATGGGGGGGGCAATGGGGTTTAGAAGAGGAGCAGACAGAGTTAAATTTCATGGTGAGTACTGTAATTAGATTCCAAATAAACTGCTTACAGTATAACAGTATCTGATATTACCTTTATCAAATCCAGAAAATCATGTTCTGTATCAGATATCAGAAAGTGTTACATGAAACTGATTTAAGTACCAGGCTGAGGGTGCTTCCATGAAAGAATAAATCAACAATGTGTGTGCACCCTGTGAGTGTGTATATAATACATGCATATTATATGTTTGCTTTGGCTTATACATGCAGTTGTACCTTACAGTGTGCTCAGCTGTGGCCAAACAGAAGCTCTCAACCAACTCTCTAAAGTAATGTTCATTGAATACTATTTGCAGCATTGTTTAGAAACTTCAAGGTTTACATCTCAAATGAAACATCAACAGAGGGGTCAATAATCAGTGCAATTAGCACCATGAGAGATGCTCATGGGTTATGCCTCCCAAGTTTTCCTAAAGATTTTAATTTTCAGAGCTCATCAGATCTCCTTTTTGGATTTATTGCTGGCATAGTTAAAATAGATTATACGTGTTCCCCAAATAGGAGCGTTCTGATCAACCTGACGCTGAATAAAACACGTGCAACTTCATCTAGGAATGTTTATAACGTCCATACCCCGCTTTGAGGTTGTGTCTTTTGGATAAGTTGAAATTTAGAGACTTTAATTCATTTGTACTAGCAGCTTTGGGTCAATTACTGCCTACCATGAATGCAAAAAACTTGCATCTTGCTTTGCACAGAGAAGGCCCCCAGTTTTCTATCTGCCCTGTACTTTTTTGTTCAATTTCTTGTGTTGTGCTAGCACTTGGATGTTTAAAATGTATAGCTGGCTAAACTGCCTTTACCTTGCCATAGAGTAAGGTCAGACAGTATAAATAAACCATCCTCTTAATTACTGACCTGTCTACTAGTTTACATTTCTTTTGTGAGCTCTTCTAAGCAGGTCTGTTTCCTCCAGATAATTGAGAAATATCTCTTCCCTTCCTTCCCTAACCCCAGTGATCAAAATAACATTGGGATTTGGGGGAAGGGAAGAAAAAGAGCTCTCACTGGTAGGAAAGCTGGCAAATGGACAAAGCGATGCCAAAGGCTGCAGGGATGATGTTCCATGCCATAGAGATAAGGAATGGAGGGAGCTGCTTACAAATCTTAGCACTTTGGGAACTAATTGAAATCTTTCCTGCTTTGGCTCATGTTCTCCTCAATGGGGGAATAACCAGCGTTGGATGCACTGAAGGGTTAAGTTATTCACGGGTGACTTATCTGGCCTGTTTGGTAATTACCTCTTACATGGTTCTGTTTACCTTTATCAACCTCAACATCTGTCTGCCTCAACATGAACTATATTTATTCCTCACTGGAGGGGGTTGCGTGTAGCTGTGGAACTGCTGTGATATTCCCTTTGCTTCTTGTTTTGGTAAAAGCAACATTAAGTTTTTTTTCTATGAGAGTTAAATTGGCTTGAGAAACTATTTTTTTTAAGAAGCAGCACCTGGGGAAGTGTGGGGACTCAACCACCTAACTTTGCTAATAACAAATTGAAGAACCAGAAGCCCTTTGGGTACCCAGAAAAGACTCTTCCTTACAGATATATGCACAGTATTAACAATTAAGCTTTACGGTGTGTGTTTGTGTTCTGTATCTCAGAGGAAACCTTGGGCACCTTAGTACAGTGTTAAATACTTCCTTCTCATAGGTATTTGACTTTCCTGGCTGTTCCTGGATCAGAGGGGTGGTTGTGATTTGGCAGATCAATGATCTGTCCTACTTGTTCCACAAGCCACAGGATTTCAGCAGCTGAAGGAGATGGTCCCTTGGATAGTCCCTTCCCAGTTTGACAGTGGTTAAATTCTCCATGTGATTAAATTGCCTAAAGTTTTGAATTCTTGGCAAAAGAACTGAAAGGCAGCAGTGAGAGCTGCTTGGATCGGTGGATCCTGTGAATTGGAAAGTTCTGGAAGTGCGCAGGTTGCTGGGTACCCCTCCCGAAATAAGTTCTGATTTGTGACTTTAATCTTTGTCTTTATTGCTCTGCTTAGATTGATGCTACATAGAATGACAGAATTGTCTAGGTTGGAAGGGACCTTTAAGATCTTCGAGTCCAACCATCAACATTGCCTTGTCAGAGACTGCAGCTACAAATTCATAACAGCCATGTAGCTATAACTGGGCTTTAGTAGCTTAGCAACAAGAACAAGCCAAATATATATTACTTTTTTTTTTTTCAATTTTAACTTGCTCTTTGGTTTCTTGCTATGTGCAGCTTAAAAATTCAAAGTTAAGCAGCTAACATGTTTAGAAGGGTGCAGAGGATATAAAAATATGCCAAATGTGAAAAGTGACAGGCTGACTCCGGATGAAATTATAATAGTTGGTACTTCCCACAAATTTTGATCTCTTGAAATCTTCATTAACCTTCATTCGAGACCTGTTCAATCAGCAGCTCCTCCCAGCCAGAAGTAAAACTGTCCTAGAAAATAGTCAGCACTCCAGGTTTACTTGTTCATCAGTCCAAGGTTTTTGAGAAACTGAGTGCTTTAATGCTACTCCTGAGTATGTTCTGTGCATTAACACTACTCTTTGCTTCCCCTCTCATGTTTCAGCCCCATATTATAAGCTCTGTAGGAGCAGGATGAGGCCTTTGTCTTCTGAAACATCTGGTACTTAATGCTGCTTATCTGCAAGAGGGAATTAAAATCCCTCCAATTGTTCACAAATGACAGTGTATTTTTTTCTCTCATTACACTTGGCTTCTGAAGGATTCAATCTCTAAAACTACTTCCAGTTCATAACAGTTCACAGAAATTTTGGATACATTTAAAAAATTATTTTTCCAGGGATTTTAAGTGAACAAAAGTGGAGAGAAATTAATGACCGGTATGGTTTGAACTTAGAGAAACTGTTCAGTGAAATCACAATACATGGCTTCAGTTAACAACACTTCAACCATTAATAAATAACATAATGTGGTAATTTCCGATAATTTCAGTTGTAATTTGAGCACAATTTGGGTGGTAATTTCTGTTCTTCTGAAAACTGGGATCCATGTGCCCGTTTCATGAGGATTGTGGGAGGAAAAATAAATCTTGTGTTGTGTGACTTGGGGTGGCTGCTGCTGTTCAGCATGAAAAACTTGCTGTCTGACTAATGAGCAGTGGTAGCTGTAAACATGAAGTTTCACGTTTTACATTTAATATGATAAAAGCTTTGCCAAACCTTTACTCTTGCTTCAAAGGATCTTTCCAGTGCTATTGAGTGTTTTATGAATAGTTAATAGGCGCAGAAGTGACTGTCAGCACCAGAGCTGCTCCTCATTCCCCTGCATAAATTAAATATATTACACTAGTGCTTTTAAAAAGAAACTGTGTACGTTTATGTAAGGAAAAACATGAACAGTTTACATGTGCTGCTTGCCTTTATGATCTCGCTTAAATTAAGGCTGTTTCTCTGGTACAGTATAGGAATAGTCTTAATTTTTTATGTATTTCATATCTGAGGGCCTATCTGTGATGGCATTATTTTGTTTTGCTGTGAGAGTTAATGGGCTCCTGTAGTAAACACTAGTTAATCTAGCATTAAATATTGAAGTTGGTTGTATTAAGCTTAACCCTGAGCACAGTGTTCTTTTTAGGCAGGAACACTGAGGAATAGCATTTCTGGAAGCTGCATATTTCAGTGCTAATTAATAGATTTTAATAAAGAGAAAGGCTGAGCTAAGCAGAGCGGAATACCATAGGTTATTTTTGTTTGGAAAAGAAATGATTTCTCTTGCTATATGCTTTCGAATCAGCAAATAATGTAGTCACTTATGTCTTATATGAGAGATGTTTGCTATGTGCCTCCTACATATAGAAAAGCTGTTTGGGGGTTGGGGCTGAGTTAAAGCATTTAGACATAATATCTCAGAAAAAAAAAAAATTAAGAATCAAAAATTCTCCTAGCCTGAAGCTTAGCAGACCATGTTTAAAGGGTCTTGAAATCTAGTTCATGTGAAATTGCCAGTATGGAAAAAGTGTGTTAAGCAATAACTCAAACTGCTGATTCTGAGAAACCTCAAAGGGGTAACTGAGAAGTCATTTTGCTGAAGCTACTTAATATCACGGAGTGAACTTTTAGTATGAAGTAGTGAATCTCCCCATTGAAATTTAGCATTGATACCTGTCTGAGAAGAATGCGTGTAGGTAAAGAGGAGGTTATGGAGATGTATTTAGAAACCAAGCATGAAATGTTACAGATAAGTTAGCTTTTAGGTATGTTTCTTCAAAAGGAATTAAGGTATCAATTGCTGACTCAATTCAGCGTGGAAGGGGATGGTCTTCTTAAGGCTAAGCCCGAGATCAAAGGAAGTCTAAAAAACCTTAAAGATCTGGTGGGGGAGAAGGGAACAAAGGGATTGGAGGAGCTTCTAGAGGCTGCCTATAATTAAAGTGAAAAAAGGCTG